GTTTATATAAAATGTTGAACTTTAGGCACATCAATATTTTAATCAAAAGCTTCAAGTGTTGCCTTTGAATATTATATAAGCACAATAAACAATAAACCATAATTGCTTTTCCAAATCAAAACAATTAAGAGTTCTCTAGTCGAGCCTGCTCGACTAAGAAATCCCCAGCAAACAAAAATTTTAAGATTTTTGTATTTTTTTCCATGGACAAACCCAGGAAATCTGGTAGCTCCAGCTCTAACGGTATAGACTGATATGGCTAGAGCAACTCAGCTAGTGATCCTGATCAAGTATATATATATACTTTACCTGCCACGCCTCCTTCAGCCTGGTACATACATTTTCATAAAATCATTATGCTCTGATTTTACATTCTCAACGAGTTTAGGGTAAAAACCCATCTGAAGCCAGCGGCCTTTACGATTAGCTCAATATAATCTAATTATGTATACATAATGTTAGAATTGAGCTTAGGTTAGGTGCTTAATTAAAAGAAATAAATAAATAAATATGCATAGAATTATAGAATGCCATTAATTAGAATTGTCCAATTAGAATTCCCCATGAAACAAAGAGAAGCATAATAGTCAGATTAATGCGTTTTGTTATACTCGCTCATGTAGTGAAAGAGTATATTGGTTGTGTGCAATCCGAGCATGAGATATAAAATATATAGTGGATTTATGGAAGCTCTTAGAGGGCGTTGCATTTACCCTTCAATTATTTTTCTCATTGAAAACTCAGCTCCTTAATTCCAACTACATTACTCTAGACTTCTTCATAGGATTGATTAACAATTATATATACATTTCTACTGGGGGCGTGGCAATATGGAAATATTATAAATTTTATATAAATAGAGTTTGTAGAACTGTTGAACTGCTCTATTGTCTTTGGAACTTGACGGTGCAATGTGCAGTCGGTAGTGCCCGACTTCCTATTTATATTTATATATATGTAAGTATATATTTAAATGTCACTATACAAGTGGGTCAAGTGCGACCTAAATTATTTTTGGAGCATTGATAAGACACCGAACGACGCCATATAAAACGATTCCAGCTCGCCGTACTCATACTCAGTCTGGAACCGGCATTCAAAGTAACCAAAAATGTTTGTGGCAAAGATTTTATTGATCTGTGCAGCTGTTGCGCTGGTCAGCGGCAATCCCCAAATACTTGGCGCACCTCGCCAGCTAAGCGGAGCTGACTTGGAGCAATCGAAGCGGACGCTGCAGGAGTCTCTCACGAAGCTGGCAGCTGGCGAAGGACCCAACTACCGGTAGGCCGCCATCGCCTCAACGTGCTCTGAGTTCTCTAACGATTCCCTTGTTTTGCTTGGCTTTCCCATAGCATTTCGAAGATTCTATCGGCAAGCCACCAGGTGGTTGCTGGCTCCTTGGATAGGTACACTGTGGAGCTGATCGACAGCAACGGCCAGACGAAGGTGTGTGACGTCAAAATCTGGAGCAGGACATGGCTGCCCAATGGCATTGAGGTGACCTTTGAGTGCCCCAACGAGGAACCCTTGGTTAGGAAGCATAGCCCCTAAGCGCCAGTTATCCAAAATAAAGATTACAAATTGATGCAAGAAAATGGACTTTCATTTAACTGGATTGTTTTCTTTTTTCTCCTTTATCGATAATCGACTGTAAGTAATCGAAACACAAACAGCTGACGATGATATATTATATTGGCATTATGCCCATTGGGCAGATCTTTCATACTTTTATATATTATAGTATAATATTATAATATATGTATATAAAGGAAAACAACTACTTCTTGCAATCGTGTCAAGCGCTCAATAAATCTCGTGAGTGAAACGTCGAAAAGACACTGAAAGATGCCATATAAGTCGATTGCAATTTGCTGTGCTCTTTCTTATTCAGTTTGATATTTCAATTGGGATATGTTTGTGATCAAGATTTTATTAACGACAATGCCCAGGAACAATTCCCAGGAACATCTGACGAGCTAAGCGGAGCTCAATTGGAGGTATTTATCAATCGGACGTTGGAGGAGTGCCCCGCTGAGCAGACATCGCTTCAAAATGATTTGAGTTCTCTGAAGAGAGCACGCAACAACCAGACGAAGTTAGGATCTACTAAATCAGATGAGGTTAAGGTCTCTATCAGATCGTGGCTGCGCAAGGGCAATGAGGTGTTTTTTAAGTGCCTCAACGAACTTCCGTTGGTTAGGAAACTCAACAGATATGCAAAATAAGGATTACAAGTTGGGTTTTCAATAAACTCGCTTCGTTTTTTCGTCTCTCTGTTCGCAAAGCATTGATCATGGACTTCAGGACTTGGATTGAGTAGCAACCAACTACATGTGTAAGTGATCAAAAGCCAAATAATTGATTATGAATAGTGGATTGACTTGCACGAAGCGACTGGGAAATCTAAATGGTAGTCCAAGCAGTGATTTGGTTTTTGAATCTATTTGATCTTTAGAATTGTCTTTAGATTGAGACGTCTATAATGTTGCTAAATGTCTATAAATTTACTAAATTATTTATCATCAAAGTAAATAACATTTCTAAGACAACTTTCATATTTAAAGCAGTAAATACGCTATATACATGCTCAAGTCCAAGCTGCCAGTAATCAATGTTGAGTTGCTCTTCATTTTATATAAATTCTAATCTCTAATGATCAAATGTTTATTCGTGTTTATCAAATGAACATTAAACTTTTAAGCAACATTTGACATGCAATTACAAATTAAGTTTGGCTCAATAAAACCGAAGAAGATGGAAGAAGATCGATGGCATATCATTTGGCCAGATGATAACTAAATCAACTCCGGGACGTAGCGAGGCCATCGATAATGATAGGCGATGAATTGCCGACTTTTCTTCTGTTCATCTTTGACAACGACGTGAAGATCTTATAAATAAATGAATATACGATATTGGGCTTATCAATATTCCAATTTCCGAATGCACTGATGGCATATTACAGAATTAAATAAAATCGAATAAAGTCAACAAAACTGCTGTTGCTCCTCCAATTCATTTTAAACAGATTGCCGACTCTGAAAAACTTGGGCCGGGTGGCACGCTCCACTCACCTACCTCCCTTGCGGCATTAGGGATCAGACCATATCTTTTACAATCAGACAATCAGGGGATCTTTGCCAATTGGAATCTTCCCAGTTATATGCACTTTATTTATATATT